ACAAAATAAATAGTAGTCTGTCAGTAAGTGAAGCTAGGTGAAGCTAGGCTACAACCAAATTAACTCAGAGTTAGCAGAGGCCGTTTATAAGAGTGGTAACAAACTCTCTGTTCATTAAGATTACAATCAGATAGATTTGATTTGATTATCTCGCCTGCTAGTAAGCGATGATGCGATACGATGGAGCACGTCGTCCCATAAGCAAACTATTCACTCGGGCCTTGAAGACACCCAGGTTATAATAATACCCTTCAGGAAATACAGATTCTAGCAAATAATTTCACTCCTTAGCAGTACGCACAAGGAAGCTTGATGCGAAGTGCTTCCTGCGTGTGGGTGGGATATTTACCATGAATGAGTGATTGTCGATTGTCTTGTGGTACGATAGAAAGGATTAGGAGGAATCAAAATAAAATTCAGCCCTGAAATAAAACTTCTTACTTAGAAAGACATGTACAAATCTTCAGTCATTCGCAAAAAAGGCAACAGTTTATAATACAGCTACTGTCAAACACCAAGCGGTCACCGGTGACCGCAACCTATTGTTCTATAATTGTGTCTATAATGACGGTACTCGACGATTAAAAACTTACTAGCGCACAATGTTGTCGTTCAAGTTGCTCGTCTGCAATCAGCTTAAGATCCAACTCAGCAATTTATAAGGAAAATATTGCTCGGACATTAAATAGATCCAGGTTTATTTATACTTTGTTTGCTAGAGGTTAATAAAATAAACGTTCCAATTTTTTGATTGCACGGTTGGTGTAAAGGTTGGGTGACTGGCTGCTAGGCAGCATGTCCAGGGCCATCTTAGACAACGCTGAGGCCCCAGCCTTTGAGCACACAATCATTCAGGCCAATTTTGGAATGTTTCTTTATTTAAAGTTGTCCCACACTAGGATTATCTCCTGTGTCGTGGGTGAGTTTACAAACTTACAAGTTCACATACACATGACACCCAAACCCGGAACACCAATTTGTGGATCACACAAAGATTTGCTCCGTGCGGGAATCGATTCTGCTACAAGTTACGAGGCAGCCAGTTGCCGCGCAAGTATAGCGAGTGCGTGTCCGGTCCTTCGAAGCCTCCTGAGGTTGGGGGCTCGAGTGCCCTTATAGTAAAGACGGTAGTGAACGTATCACGGGTTCAATTTTTACTCGGAACAATCCTTTTTGTAATTACTGAATTTTTTTTTTTTTCTTTTAAAAAAAAAAAAACGTTGCCCCACACTAGGATTTTCTCCTGTGTCGTGGGTGCGTTTACAAACATACAAGTTCACATACACAATGACACCCAGACCCGAAACAACAATTTGTGGATCACACAAAGTGTTGTTCCGTGCGGGAATCGAACCCGCGACACGTTGCACGGCAGCCGGTTGCCCAGCCACCGCACCAACCGTGCAGTCGAATTGTTGTTTTGGGTGTGAATGTTTCATAAGAATATGAGATACTGTTAAGACACCCGCTGTGTTGAACGAACGCCGAACGAATAGGATTACTGCTGAGGGTCAATCTATTTTATATTTTTTTTTTGAGGGGAAAATCCTCTACTTACTTCTGCCGCCTGTGTGAGGCGAGAGGAAGTGTCAGACTCTTACTGACTAAAAACCACCCCGTTCCTACTCCTGCACTTCAAGCCGGAGCCCCGGCAACCCAGTCACTCTGCTGTGGTCTCTCTTAACCTTTCATATTTCAAAACTGAAAAGTCACTCGACTCTTGAATATTATAATATGACCCAGTAGTCCTCAGCAGATTATCGTAGCCTCCAATTAATATAGTCGTTAATTAATTTTAATTAAAATACGCAAATGTAAACATCTAAAGAGGAAATCCATATTTCTAATTAATAATTAAGGAATTTATTTACAACATACATAGGTATCTCTATCTATGTTTTAAGCAAATATTCGTAGTGTAGATCAATAATGTTTAAATATGGTCTATTTATTTTGGATTAGAACACATTACTAAATTAGCTGAGGGCGCCCTCTACTGACACGATAACTATCACTATAGGTACTATATTCTGGGAACGTCATAAATCTACATTCATACATCAAGTAAGTGCTTTCTTTTGCAAAGAAATCGCTAATCGAAGAGTAATGTCTTGGACTTAAACAAATACATATACAAAACAATAAAAATGTTTTCCGTTCGTCATACAAACACTGTGATGGGTCCAAATGTGAAGTGTTAGCGATAATACACAAATACTACATCGCAGAGTAGAAAATGAATCTATTTTGTCACCGTCCCCTTTTCTTCCAGTGTCGGAAGATCTGGCTAAGGGACTACACATTTGATAGCAACTGGAGAGCAGACTTCTATGATATACCTGCACCTTTTAGACTTTATTATTCATCCCGCCTGGCAGGAGTAGTAATTTTTTTAAGCCGGTGAACGAGCAGACGGATCACCTGATGGTAAGCAATTGGTGTCACCCATGGACACCGGGAACATAAGAGGCGGCGTATTAGGAATTTGAGAATTGTTGGAGACTCAGGGATAGGAGGGAGGTAATTAGGCCTTCAATAACCTCACTCACACGACGAAACACAACGCAAGCGTTGTTTGGTCGACCGGCTCATTCGTGCCGAAGCATGACTCCCCCAAACTTTTACAATTTACTATTTAGAATATTACAATCTGTTACCTTCTTTGGGACATTCAGCAGTACATTGAACATTACTGTAGTAAACACATTCGATATGTGTCCTATCCTATGTCACATCCTCTTTATAAAAACAGTTTATTTACTGTGGTTGGATCACATCTTGTAGTATTATACGCACTACGCACTGCCTCGTGTTCGTCCATTAGTGACTGTGCTAGTGTTTGGGTGACGAGATATGTGATCCTTATATGATTTGGTGTGTCGTCCAATTTCTTGTTTTCCTGTTGGTATTCGTAGGCCGTGGTATACTTAACAGTTTATTGGGTATGAACCAAGGGGCGTTGGTTATCATGCGTAGTGATTTATTTGGGAACTTCTGTATTATTTCTATATTTGAATGGGACGCGGTATCCCGTAGTTGTATCCTGTACCTACACTACAATAGGCTTTACTATAGGATAATACAATAGTAGTAGTAGTAGTAGATTGTACAATAATATCTTATTCTCTAAGACTTGCAACCAATAATGGCTTGCTGTCATTATGGCAAATCCCTCATTTAGAAGAGAACTATTGTTCAGCTTGAACTGTTGATTTATAATAAACCACGAAAACTATAATACTCACAATATGTACTTGGTAACTAAATGAAACACTACAACAGATGTGAACTTCGACCGCAATCTTTGGCCTTGAGTGTCCTTCACGTGCGGTTAGTCGCACTATTGGTCAAACTTAATAAGATTAAGACTTCGTCAACGAGGGTGCCTGAACGAAGTACACGAGATTATAATAGCAGTTATTTAAATAGCACTTGAACAACTGTTTAGACATTTTAGTTTAATTTTAGTACATTTTGTGTTTTTCATCTATAAGCCTTTGACTGCCGACAGAAAACTGCTGAAAGCAAATCCTCCGCTAACGTAGGTCACCGGTGACCTACACGGCGATTAACGTATTAAATTGGAGGCTTGGTAACAATTAGAAAAACTTGATTTATGGTTGAAAGACAATGCCCAATTATTGCCATTAATGTAGGTCTCGTGTTGCAGAATGAATAAATAATGCTTTGAACTCGAGGGACCTAATCAAATACTTTTTGCTCAGCCGAACTATTTCGAAATCGTAAACCCCTATTTCTCCGCGCGCGCCTCAAAGAGCCATCAGACTACACTACCACCATCAACTGGGCTGATGCCGATTCGGAGTCGCGGAGAACCTAACGGGTTACCGGGGTTCCGACTCGAAGCGCAGGACAAGGAACGGGGTGGTTTTTAGTCAGTAAGAGGCTGACACTCCCTTATTCGATGATTTTAAAAAAACCCTATTTCAATCTAGAGCTATATTCAGTAGCGGTATTTTGACTGTAGGAATCTCTTATTCTCATCCCTTGCACCACAAAACAGTTGCTCCAGTTCTAAGATGTTTTCGCTCAAATGAAAGTGATCTGCGATCTTAAGCGTCGCGGTCGGTCGCCCGTGCGGTGCTGGTATTGATAAAGTTTTTTTTGCAAAATAACCATTTTTTGTCTGACGCCTGTCTGCAAGATGGCGCCGGTATGCGCGGATCGTGATGAAAGTTTTTAATATTTTACTTAGCTATATGACTTTGACGTGTGTTATTTTGTATAGATTTTTTGGTCATGGACGTCCCCGAAACATCCTACTAATGCTGAAATTAACTGTTATTGTCATTATCATCAGGCTATAGATGTGTAGGTGCTCACTACTCTATTCTACTACACCACTGAACTAAGGCTTCTTCTGACACTGGTTTAGCATTAATCACCATGCTTGCTCAGAGATTATCGATTTGAAACTTGAAATAATTTTGATTTAATAACCGACCTAAAAACTTGGATTAACCCAGTAAATTCAAGTTTTTGATGGAAACTCCATACTTAGAAATAAAGTAAAAAGTTGATTTTAATTTGTAGATGTAGCTTGAGATTGTTTATTAATTTCTACCATAAATCATCAAACTTTAAGAAATGAACGCGCATGTAAACATGGACATTTTTTCACATTTGACGTCGTTGTTGTTTTAAACGGAATTATTTTGGTCATTGCTCCCTAAGCACGTAAATAGTTCTTCTCCTTGTGGGTGTTGTGACAGAAATAGAATGTTTTTGTCGCACTTTTCCTGTTGATTTATTACTATGTGCTGTATTATCCTGTATACGGCTTTTTTGAAATAATTATATTCGTTACACGGAAGTCGTGGCTTAGGATAAACACGAGGTTCAACAGTTTTAAAAATAGTTAAACAAAATTCTGTCCAAAAAGTATGATCACTAAAACCCAACCTTCTTTAACGACTGGCCCAAATAAAACTAGAGCAAGGCAAAAAAATACCATTGCTTCCGTCAAAAATGACAACACCCTCAAAAACCTTAAAACCCTTAGATTAAAATGTACAAATTCTGAACCCTCATAAGAATGGACGGGGAGGAGATAAGACACGTGGAAGTCAGCTACAAGCTTCTCCAGGATCACATAAACAAGTTGACAGAAAATCAGACAAATATCATTAACAAATTCGAGGTCCTTAACAGAAATGTTGACGAACTTAGAAAGACTTTGGCACAGTTTTCGGACAAGATCAATACCTTGGAAGAGGTTTCAATGGATAGGAAGAAACTTAAGATAGAAATCAAAATCTTGAAGAACAGGATAGATGAGTTGTATGCTATTGTGAAAGAAGGGAAGGAAGATGATTCTAATCCCAGTGCTGACCCTCAAGAAGTGGAGTCTTGTCATTCGGGCTTCTCCTGCTCTTCAAAGGTACTTACGACCTTCATAACAGTGTTGGTGGACGGATACTTCCATGCAACATTCTTAAACCTTCTCTATCATAATTAGGCAATGTTAGTAGGATGATATTTAAGTTTTTAAAGTAACATTTAACACTTAGAATTTGATAATTCCATTTACATACGTTCTTCTACTACATAATGCTATGCTTCTATCTGTATGTAAAAATTAAGGAAAACGGGTATCATTTGGAATTAGAATAATCAGAATGCGTAGAAAAGAAATGATTGAACGATTTCACTGATCAATGTCTGTTTAATGACAAATACGAGGCGAGGAGATATCACGTTTCTAAGTTATTACCGATGATAAATTGAGTCAATATATCGATTAGGAATATTGAATAGGTATAGTTTTTGTGCGATCAGTGTTCAATGAAACGGCGAGTTATTTATTGACTTGGATAGCGAAATATTTTCAGAAGAGATACAAATAAGTGTGGGAGAGCCATGCTTCGGCACGAATGGGCCGGCTCGACCGGAGTGATACCACGGCCTCACAGAAAACCGACGTGAACCAACGCTTGCGTTGTGTTTCGTCGTGTGAGTGATGTTACTTGAGGCCCAATTACCCAATTACCCAATTGCCTAGTTTCCCGAATCCTCGAATCGTCCACAATCCTCAAACTTCCAATTCCCAAAAGGCCGGTAACGCACTTTTAACGTCTTGGTGTTGCGGGTGTCCATGGGCGACGCCGATTGCTTACCATCAGGTGATCCGTCTGCTCATTTACCGGCTTATGCCATACAAAAAAAAAATTACCACTGTCATCTCTGTACGTACCTCGACCAAAGGTTTTCTAATTAGTTGCTATCCTTTTAAGATTATCACTGAATGTTAAAATGAAGATGTAACAGACCTTGCTTTATTATTTTTTTTCTATCAATCTCTCAGAACTTATTTTTACTTCTCAATAAGCAAGAGATTATAGTGATCCATTTCATCTATCCTTATTTTTTAGCTATATTCTTTGCAATAAAAAATAAATGCATATTTTTTTGTAATTAACAAACTGAATAATTTCGAAGAAAATCAATAAATCAATTAGAAACTCCGCAACGGCGGCGAACGGGGGCATCGTCTCAGCGACCGGTAGACGTTCGACAAAAAAAAAACAAAATAAAAAATCTTCTATTCTGTCTGTTTGCTTGCAATCTCACTGAAACTAATTTCGGTTGTAATTGGATTATTACAAAACGTAATTATGTCATCAGCTGACCGTTATGAAAAGTCTTAGATAATAATTGAATCTGTAAAATTGTGAATTCGACATGGTGGTTCTGTACCGTCGAAAAATTAATAAAAAATGTATAGATGCTATTTTTAATCGTCTGTGGGCGCTCTGCAAAAGTTAATTAATATCTATTGAGTTACTAATCGGATAATAGACTGCATAGTTAGCGCGGTGGTTGGGCAACTGGCTGCCGCGCAACGTGTCGCGGGTTCGATTCCCGCACGGAACAACTCTCTTTGTGTGGTCCATAGATTGTTATTCTGGGTCCTGGTGTGATGTGTATGTGAACTTGTATGTTTGTAAACGCGCTCACGACACAGGAGAAAATCATAGTGTGACCAACGATTTAAAAAAAATCTATTTGTCGTCTGCTAGCAAAATATGGGACTCCTCTATTTAGAAGGGGCTTGCAATCTCCATACTTCACACTGATAGATCGCTGTTTGTAAAAGCCGAATATTACAATAGACGTGGCAAGAATAAGGATAGTGAAAAATTTTAGTAGGAGCTCTACTCTACAGTCAACACTCCATTCGTTTTCAAAGATAATTAAATTAAATTACATAGGCACATATAGACTACCTTCTAGCCTGCAGCTTTGCCCGCGTTCCTGTGGGACACAAAACAGCCTATGTGTTATTCCAGACCATAATCTATCTCTGTTCCAAATTCCATTTCGATCCCTTCAGCCGTTTTGACGTGAAGGACTAACAAACAATCAAAGTTTTGCATCTATGATTTATGATATCTCTTAACTTTGATTACCCGGCCACCGTAAGCGCGGGCCTGCGGACGGCGACCATGGATGGCTCCCCATCCGACCAGAAACAAACCCGAGCGTACGGCGCGTCGCTGTTCGCGCGCGCCTCAAAGAGCCATCAGATTACCACGGATGGGGCCCAACAGGGCTGATGCCGATTCGGAGTCGCGGAGAACGTAACCCGTTAGTTACCGGGGCTCCGGCTCGACGTGCAGGAGAAGGAACGGGATGGTTTTTAGTCAGTAAGAGTCTGACACTCCCTCCCGCCTCACCCAGGCGGGAGCAATCATTCGATGATTTTCCCCCCTTAAAAAATAGAATAGCTTTAATTACCTCCCCTTGCAAAAAAACTGTCTCTTATATGTACTTTAGCTCCCCTTTTCCAGGGAACCCTAAAAGTCTAGCGTATTTCGGCAACCACTGATGCGCTGTCAGCGGACCGAATTTTGTTTTTATTTTTAACAAAAGCACCTATCTATTGTGAAGCGTTTTAGCTAGATTGGAGAAAAATGAAGCTCGGATGTTTGTGGATATTGTAGGATTTCCTTTTTGGATTCAGTTTATCCTGTTTCTTTTAGATGTCCTTTGTGATGTGATTAATTATATTAGAGACAAAGAGTCTCTACAATAAATAATGTAAAAGAATAAAATAAAAATATTTAGATAATAATAGTGGACCCGACAGACGTTGTCCTGCATATCCACTTGAATGTATAAACAAAAATTCATTCAAATTAGTTCAGCAATTTAGGATAAATAACCTAAACTTCAAGTGCAGCGCTATCTGCCGGGCTGATTTGTGAATCTAAACCATTCACAGATTCCCTTGAACACACACAAAAAGTTTCATCAAAATCGGTCCAGTCGTTTGAGAGAAGTTCAGTGACATACACACTCACAGAAGAATTATATAATTATATAAAGATTTATTTCAATCATTAGTGGTCCTCAGAATTGCTTGTCTTCAAAAACACTACTATTTTATTTAAATCGATTTCTAGGAAGTAGAGTCATCGACACTGATTCTTATCTTAACCTTGTTTTTATGGAGGTTTGAGTAAGTAGTTACTGAAGTAGGAGTAAGAGTCTGACACTCCCTCCCGGCTCACCCAGGCGGGCGCAGTCATTCGATGATTTTCCCCCCTTAAAAAAAAAGAATTTGTTCATATTTAGGTACTTACCTACCTACATTTTAACTAAAGATTTTTATTATGCCTTACGTAAGTCATCATTCTTTTATGACTTCGGATTCATAGATTTGGAAACTCCATCCGTGTTTGAAAACCAACCTTGATTTCCTACAGAACTTGAAATTGTTTTTGTTATAAAGATCTAAGCATACATAGGGACAGACAGACGGCGGATAGCGACTTGTTTTATTAAACTGTCATACATCAAGCGGTCACCGGTGACCGCAACCTATTGTTCTATAATTGTGTCTATAATGACGGGTTAATTCAACTCACGAGTTAATTCATCTGTTTGTTTGTTTGTTGCAGGTGACAATGACCACCGGACTGGACAGAGACACGATACGGGCCGCCTACGAAGACGTCCGCTCGGATACAACACCAACTGAGTGGTGAGCCGCCATTTTTAATCATAGTAATAGTGATTTTGGCATCACATTACGTAATCCTCAAGCGCGTAGGCAGAAGTGCACATGTTATCCTTACCAATATTATAAATTGGAAAGTGAGTTTGTTTGTTTATTTGTTCCGCTTTCACGCCGTAACTACTAAACCGATTGCTTTGAATTTTTGCAAACGTAAATAAAGTTAGAAGTCTGGATTAAATAACAGGGTACTTTTTATCCCGGAAAAATGTGATATTCTCGAGGGAAAACGAAATTATTGGTATAGATGGCGCTGTGTGTATAGGTATATGTCACATAGGCTACTTTTTATCATTTTGTGACGCGAAGCCGCGGGTAAAAGCTAGTGCATATATAGTTAGTTATATTGACTTTATGAGTCTTATTTAATTGGCGATATGTTGAGGGGGGGTTTTTATCATTCTCTAGACGCAATTCCAGCCACCGTGCTATAAAGCATTGAGAAATTAGTACAGTACCTAGGTACCTGAAGCTTTACACAACCCCTTACTCAGCGGTAGCAATTGAGACCTCTCATCTAACGAGAATCCTTTCCAAAAAGGTTTCATAAAAAATCCTTAAGTCCCTATTCTTAATGTTGTATTGTTTGTTTGTCAGGGCGGTGTTCAAATTCGACGGTGCCCGCATCGTGTGCTCGGCGCGCGGCTCCGACTTCACGGAGTTCCGCACCCAGTTCTCTGATGACGACCGTGCCTTCGGATATCTCAGGTTTGTCGATATGTTTATAATTTTCAATGATTTTCAACAGGTTACACATCTACGCATTTTATTTTTGATCCAATATTAAAACCATTTTTATGAAACTAAGTATCCTGTAATTTGACGCCCTCAAAAAGAGGAATTTGCGCGATTTGGTCGATCAAAGCAAAGACCGCGCAACCGCTATTCACCGTTAGAAAAGTGTGGCCGTTTAGGACGATAGGAGTAGGGACTAATCCCAGGTAAATCTTCCAAGATAGTGTTGGTACCTAAGGCTAATTACTACTTAATTTAATAGGAACCCAATGGTCAATTCATGTTTCATGAAGAAAAACAAGCACACTGAAACAGCTCATTTGACTAACTAAAGTAAAGAATATGCAAATAGTGGTTAGCATTATTACCTAACCTACCTACTGAAAACCGTTTATTTTCAATAAGACACCTCAACGCTGAAATTATGCTGCGGCCTAATTAAGCAATAGGTAGCATTTAAGTAACAGATGAGGCAAGTGGCGAATATTTAAATCGCTCAGTGACCGGCTCGCCATGCGTGACGATACTTACTTGTGACACAATCGTACTGGATATTGCATTTAGACTGAACATAGTCCATCAACAATCCGTGAATGACCACTCCTAGACTATGGGCATCCTCTAACATAACATCACGCCTATTATCCCCGAAGGGGTAGGCAGAGGTGCACACAGAAGTAACACCCACTTTTGACTATTTATGTTATGAGTCCCACGTAATAGGGGGTGAGCCTATTGCCATATACCGGGCATAATTCCACTCCGTGCTACTACTGAGATTTTTTTTAAAACGCAGTAATACTTTCCTTCCTCTTCTTATAAAGATTTGCCAAAATGTCCACTCTTGATAGGCGGGTTCAAGATCGCAGTTTAGGAAGGACTCAGGTTTATAAGAGAACGCTACTGCCTAGTAGGCAGTAGCAGTAACATTTGACAGAGGTCAAATGTTAAGTCAGGCAGTTAAGACCTTTCAATATTCTTTTTTTTTAAGAAACGTTGCTCCACACTAGGATTTTCTCCTGTGTCATGGGTGCGTTTACAAACATACAAGTTTATACACACATCACACCCAGACCCGAAACAACAATTTGTGGATCACACAAAGTGTTGTTCCGTGCGGGAATTGAAGCCACCGCACCAACCGTGCAGTCATTCTTGATAGGTAGTCTAATAAAACTAGGCAATGAGACATGTTTGGAAGTGGACACCACGGCTACTCAAAACCCAAAATAGTGTGGAACACACTCCAACTAATAGGAGTGACAATATCCGTAGACTGCCAGCAGTTTGAGTACCAAGAGCTGAAGATCGAGTTCAGTCTCATGCTATTTGGGAAGCCGTGATTATAACTTCATATTTTCAAGTACTTAATCACTTATCCGCAGGTTGCAAATGGGTGACGAGATGTCTAAACGCAAGAAGTTCTTGTTCGTGACGTGGGTGGGGCCGAACGTGTCCGTCATCAACCGCGCCAAGATGTCCACCGACAAAGCCATCATCAAAGACATCATCTCTGTAAGTACCAATATCCTAATCATGTGGAGTGCATATTAAATGTATGCATATATATGTAGGTATAAATGATTCTTAAATGCCAAAATAAATACAACCTACGTATCTACCTAATTAGGAATCCGAAAACCGTAAACTAATCTATGAATGCAAAAACTTCTAGTCTAGGAAATGAAGCATTTTCACTGGTTCGGTACCTACGCAATGGGCAAATGGCAAAGTAAAAGGCACAAGTTTCAGGTTGTTTAAAACTTTTATAGGCTTTATTCGTAAAAAAATTATCGTGATTTATGAGTGCATATTAAATGTATGCATATATCACCTGCGTATTACTAGTTAGAACAAGCCCCATGGGTGTGTTCATACATAAATCACCATAAAAATCGGTATCAATATAAAAACCCGATCGATTTCTATGGTGAAGTTCTCTTCAGCAGAGGCAAAGTCGAAGATTGATAACGATATTCTCCATTATTTATTAGATTACACAGGTAATTAGCGTAATGTCGTGGTGGCCCGGACTTCTATGACGCCCGTTTCTCATGCATGAGAGTGCGGGTTCGAAACCTACCAACGGTAATACCAACGTGACTTTTTCTGAGTTATATGTACTTTCTAAGATTAATTAGACGCCACTGAGAAACGGTGAAAAAAAAAAGCATCGTGAGGAAACCTGGGCTTATAATTTCTAATTTGTGTATGTGAACTTGTATGTTTGTAAACGCACCCACGACACAGGAGAAAATCCTAGTGTGGGGCAACGTTTTAAAAAAAAAAAGCAAGTTTGAAATCGCCAACCCGTATTGAGTAGAGAGTAAAGCGCGTGGTGATTGATCCTTAGAGTTAGAAGAGGCTTTTATCAGCAGTGGGCACTTATAGATTGTTGATTGATGTATGTATTACTCAGGTTCCTACTACTCAGGAACCTGTGCTTCAACATCAACAATACAAAATCACTGTCATAGACCCAATCACCTATAATGCCTAACAAACACTTTCCCTTGTTTACCCTGCCAAAATAAAAAAATAAATATGGAATCAATAAAAATGGCGGGCAATTTGACAGATTAGTTCAAGTCGCGAAGCCCTTGACCGGTTCATTGGCAAATGAGTTCGAGTCATTCCCGCAAATTGTTTTGCCAATAAATTAAATGTAAATCGGCATGATTCATAATACGGGAATGATTGGGATTGGCGTTGTCATTGGTGGGAGAGGTCGATGAAAATGAGTAATATGTTCAATGTGTCTGAAGTTTCTAGTGAGGAATGGAGATTTGTGTTTAATACTAGTTCTAAAGATAGAATATTCAATTTTATGATCAAGCCACGGTTTTTTTATTAATGAGGAGGATTTCATTTGACTCAAGTAAATATAGGTATTTCCGGTAAGATTGGTTGGTAGAAGCCAAAATGATGTACAAATAATTGAATAATCAAAAATTGTATATTCAAAATGCAATAAATAAATACAAAACAACAAAAATCAGATCACATGAAATCATACAAGTACTTTCTAACATTAAAACCGACAGTTTGAGCGACCGCAGAAATAAAATCGTAACCAACAATACATTTGTACTTTGCTGTGTCTAAATCTATTTCTTTACTGCCCGCAATAAGCTTTAGTTCGACTAAAGTAGCTATTTGGGCCAATAGATTACTTGTAAGACCAATTTTTTCTTCTAAAATTGCATAGAATATGGCTAGTAGGCGGTCTAATGTGAACACTTTTGGACCTAGCTGTGTGTTAAGCTTCTCTGTAATCTTCGCTTTTGCCTTTACTTGCTGAAGTCGCTTTCTCTGTTTCCCATGGTTCTTCATAAACAGTCTCTTGTCCTCTTTCGGTGGGTTATAACTGGCTAAGTAGGCAGCAATAAGTAAGAACTTGGCATAGTATGGCAGCTCAAAACTCTGTGCAAATGTTTTTGTAGATGTTAATTCCTCTTTTAAGGTGTTCTCAAAGTTGTGAATCGGTATGCTCTCTGCGTCACTATTCTCCTTCCCTGGTGATGGATTTACAGACTTAGAGTTACTTATACGCAGGTACAAGAGCTCCAAACTTGACTTAAGGATCGGAGAGATATGTCGCCATAGTTTTGATAAGTCTGTTGCATTGATCTCATTCTTAATTATAGGCTCACAGTATTTTATGAAGTTGACGCATGCCATGTGCTGCAATTCAATCAGATCGCGACACGGTCTATAAAATACGCTTAAAAATGCGTTGAGAAAGTTTGCAAACAATTCTGGTTTTTCTAATTCCTCTCTTACATCGTCATCAACTTCGTGGGTTATTAGTAAATGGTTTATAAAGCTCTTTTGATGCAGAAAGATGATTTTGAAGAGCTCCTCTTTATTATAGTTTGGAAAATACAGCTTGATAGGCTCGCGTACACCCATTTTGAAGTAGAAATTCTCGTAAACCAAATGTGTGATGAATATTGTGCATACATTAAGATTACACAGCTCTCGTAATCTTAAGAACGCGCTCATTATGTTATGGTCCATAGTACGTAGCCGCTCTGCTCTGTCGAACACTATTACGACCGGATTATTGCCAATTGCGGCCTCTTGTAATCTATTCAAATTGTTGGTTAGATCCATCAATGTTTCACATTTAACTTCGATTTCCTCATCTTCTAACCCCGACAGGATACCTTCGTACATAATTTTAGGTGTATAACACTCGATACAGTCAATAACAACATGTTTATAATTTAAATTCCATAGTACTGAGTTGACGCATAAAGTTTTTCCTGTAGCCATACTACCGCTGATAAATATAGAACAAGGTAAACATTCGTCACCTTCGCCAAGTAAATTAAACAAGTCGTTCAACTGTTCCTCTCTGCACGGCACTTTGTTTTGTATTTCTTCCATTTTTAGTTACTTTTTACAGTTTTTGTAAACAACCTCTTTCGTATTCACTTTCGATTTGATTTTGACAATTTGATGTTTTGGCGGTTCCGTTGACGTTTGTGAAAACGTTCCGTTCTCCATGAGTGTGATATTGGGCATGATTAGGTGCGGCCTCACTACGTTGATTTTACTTATAAAATAAAGCAATCAATAATAATGTTGCCCAGTCAGTTTAGTTTATTGTAAATATTGATTATTTTATATTTTCCTGTTACAGAATTTTGCAGTGGAGTTACAATTGGAAAATCAATCCGAAATAGACATCGATCAATTCAAGGACGCTCTGAATAGGGCGGGAGGAGCAAACTATGGTACAGGAGTCAGGGATTTATGAATTGCACAATAAAATATCCGCCTACGTTCTAAAAACATATCAATACTTTGATTTTAAGAGTCATTTTGTAATTTTTACTAATTGTAAAAGTTAGTGTAAAACAACTAAGGATGGCTAATTAAAATCAAAGTTGTGGTAATTTTTGTATTAATTAGGCCACCATCGGGCCCAAATTGTTTTTCTATAAGTAGGTATGTGCTTTTATTTTTAAATTTTTATACTAGTGTATTAAGTTCTGCATTGGTCATTTTATGCTGTTTCGAACGTAAAAATACCTATTTATTTTTTTTACAAAATTGATATTTGAACTTATTTTTTATTTAGGGAGATTGTAAAATTTCTATAATTTATTTTTTTAAAGTCATTGTGCAATTTATACTCGTAATGTAACGTAAGGATTTGCCAAAAATCTTAAGTGAAAGTTGCCATGTATAGGGCGCGTTAAGTGCATTTATTTTTTTGTCTACCTGTATTTTACTGAGACGAAATTTTACAATGTATTGTATACAAAAGTATTTGGATTTTAAACTGGCTTTTATATACATTGACTAGTGTTATACCCAGCATTATTGGTAAACGAATTGAAGTAAATACATAAACATTAACCAAACGACTATAGTTTGTTTTATTCAACACTGCGCATGCAATCTTACCCTGAAAATAAACACGATATAACACACTTTTAATACATAATTATTTTGTAACAACAATATTTTGTTGTTACATACATTAAT